TCGTTTCTTACCTGTGTCGTAGTGCTGGCCTCCCCATGGCTTTCAGGTTCCCAATGCTCTCTTTCTTCAGGCTGGGCTGTCCTTGTGGGTGCCACATGGTTTGGTGGTCCACAGCTTCCCCCGCCCTCATCTTCCCCCGCCCTCATCTTCCCCTCCCCCCGATGAGCCTAGTTTAAAGCCCGCTGGAGGAGATCCACCAACCTAGAAGAAAACACACGCTTACCTTTGGGGGACAGGTGAAGCCCATCCCAGCTGAGCATGTCCTTCGTCGTGATGTGCGGGTCGTTGTCCAGGAAGCCGAAGCCTGCCTCGAGACACCACTGCCGAAGCCACCAGTTGGTCTCTCGGATGCAGTTCTCATGCCGTCTTCCGCGTCCGTTCACTGGTAGGATGGAAGAGAATACCACCTGTGCACCGAACTCCTTCAGCACGCAAAAAGATGCCGCCAGCTGTGTCAGCGGTGAAGGGGGTGGTGGCGAGCAGTGTCGGTAGCGCCTTTTCATAGTGGGTGTACTGCCACACTCAGGGGCGTGCACCCGCTACGTGTCGCCAATGCCTCTGGGGAGAATCTGTTCCAGGCCTTGGGCTCTTGGACAATAAAGAAGTTTTTCCTTATGTCCAGCCTAAAACAGTCTTGCAGGAGTTTGTGACTTTTGGACCTTGTCATTCCTTGGGGCAGTCTGGTGAACAGGCATTCCCCCAGACCATGATGTACACCCCTTATGTACTTACAGGCTGCCACCAAGTCACCGCTGAGCCTGCACAATAAGGGCATAAAGCTGCCAAAGTGCTCCTCCTTGTCAGGCTTTACTTCTGCTTCTGGCATGCTTAATAGGAACGGGGGAGGGGTGCCCTTTCACTTCATTTCCAGGACCTGTGCATTTGGATTGGGAGCAGATGGTAGGGCTGTGCTTGTGAGTGATGTACTCAAGAGTGCTGGGGAAGTAGCAGAAGACTTTCCCTTTGTTAATCCCAAACGTACAAGATACACTGAACAGTGGCAGAATATTGAGAAGTAGTATACTGACTTCATAGCTGAAGTAAATCTTTTTTATGTACGGTTAAAGCTCTGGTCTGCTCAGGACTCTTACTGAACCAACAAGGTTTCAGTCAGATAGCAGGAGTAGCCCCATGGATGGTGTAGATCAGGGATGGGCAAAATACAGCCCGCAAGCTGCATCTGGCCCACCAATGGATTGGATCTGGCCCATAGGGTGGGGGAGGGGGCCATGGCTGCTGCCATAGCATTCTGCATAGGGGCAAGCCCCGGCAAGGGCAGTTCACACCACATTCCGGCTTGCACCTGCCCGCCCAGTCCTGGCCAGTGTGTACAGTTTACTGGTGGGACTGCTGCTCAGCTCACCTCCAGTGGCAGCTCCCCTCCTGCTCCTGCTGCACTGCTCCAGGCCAGGAGGACCTTAAGGGACCACCCTGCCTAACATGATGCGGGATGATCAAGGTGAGGGTGAATATATTCCCACCATCGGTGTAGATCTTATAAGGAAACATCTTGAAAGGCTGGACCCCCACAAATCAGCTGGTCCAGATAGATTGCACCCAAGAGTGATAAAGGAACTGGCTGACACCATAGTGCAGCCACTGGCAAGGGTATTCGAGAACTCTTGGCACTTGGATGAAGTACCTGAAGATTGGAAGAGGGCCAATGTGGTGCCTATCTTCAAGAAAGGGAGGAAAGAAGACCTGGAAAACCAGAGGCCAATCAGTCTGACCTCAACTCTTGGGAAGATCTTGGAAAAAATTATCAAAGAAACCATTCTTGACAGGCTAACAGAAGGCAACATTCTGAGGGATAGCTAACATGGGTTTGTTGTGGGTAGGTCTTGCTTGACCAATCCCATTTCCTTCTATGACCAGGGGACGTATCACCTGGACAAAAGAGAAGAGGTTGATATCATATATTTGGACTTTAAAAAAGCCTTTGACCTGGTGTCCCATGATGTCCTCATGGAAAAATTGGGCAACTGGGGCCTCGACTACACCACAGTCTGATGGCTGGGAAACTGGCTCCAAGGTCGGACCCAGAGACTGGTGGTCGACGGAACTGAATCAACATGGCATTCAGTGACTAGTGGTGTCCCCCAAGGCTCCATTCTCAGATCTGTACTCTTTAATGTCTTTATAAATGATCTGGACTCTGGTGTCAGAAGTGGACTGGCTAAGTTCACTGATAACAACAAACTTTGGGGAAGAGTATCCACACCTGAGGATAGGCTGGTGATCCAGGCTGACCTCGATAGGCTTGCAAGCTGGGTAGATAGAAATCCGATGGTATTCAATATGAAGAAATGCAAGGTAATCCATCTTGGGGAAAAAAACCTGCATCGCACTTATAGGTTTGGCAGTGCTACGCTCGCTACCGCCACCGCCGAAAAAGACTTGGGGGTCATGATTGATCACAAGATGCACATGAGCCACCAGTGCGATACCGCAGCTGGCAAAACGAACAAAACTCTGGCTTGCATCTACCAATGCATCTCGAGCAAGTCCCAGGATGTCATCCTCCCACTGTACTTCCCCTTGGTGTCCAATTCTGGGCTCTGCAATTGCGGAAGGACATGGAGAAGCTTGAAAGAGTCCAGAGGAGAGCCACGTGCATGATCAGAGGGCAAGAGAACAGGCCTTATGAAGAGAGGCTGCAAACTATGGGACTCTCATTTTCCTCTCATTTTTTATGAATTACTGTATGTTGTGTCAGAGTAGTTGCCAACTTAAAGAAGACCCTCATTGTGCTAGGCTCTCTACAGACCTTGCCATGAAGAGCTTAATTCTACTACTAAGATATCCTAAGGGTAAGTGACAAGGATGGAACATGCTATCAGGGTGAACTGCGCAACAGCAGCACGCACCATGGAAGTACTGTGGTTTTGTTTGTTATGGAACTACATTAAAAATGAGACTATTTACATGGAAAGACAAAAGAAGATGAGCAGGAGTCCTTATAAGAGGGGCACTAGCATTGGGGCAAGCAGTCAGTCAGCCCAAGGGAGAGAACAGGCAGAGTGACAATATCAGAAGGCTTTCTGATTGCTTAGCATCATAGAATCATAGAAAATTAGGGTTGGAAGGGACCTCAGGAGGTCATCTATTCCAACCCCTTGCTGAAAGCAGGACCAGCCCCAACTAGATTATCTCAGCTTTGTCTGTACAGGTCTTAAAAACCTCCAAGGATGGAGATTCTACTACCCCTCTGGGTAACCTGTTCCAGAGTTTTACTATTCTCCTAGTGAGAAAGTTCTTCTTAATATCTAACCTAAACTTCCCTTGCTGCAACTTGAGACCATTGCTTCTTGTTCTGTCATCTACTATCACTGAGAATAGTCTGGCTCCATGCTCTGTGGAACCCCTCCCCCCCAAATCAGGTAATTGAAGGCCACTATCAAATTCCCTCTCAGTCTTTTCTTTTCTAGACTAAATAAGCCCAGTTCCCTCAGCCTCTCGTCAGAAGTCCGGTGTCCCAGGACCCTAACCATTTTCCTTGCTCTCCACTGGACTCTCCCCAATTTGTTCACATCCTTTATGTAGTGGGGGACCCAAAACGGGACACAATACTTCAGATGTGGCCTCACCAGTGCTGAATAGGGGGAATAATCACTTCCCCATACCTACTAGCAACAAACCTATGAATGCAGCCCAGTGTGCTGTTAGCCTTCTTGGCAACAAGGGCACACTGCTGGCTCATATTCAGCTTACTGTTCACTGTAACCCCCAAGTCCTTTTCTGCAGAGCTGCTGCCCAGCCAGTCAGCCCCCAGCTTGTACCAGTCCATGGGACTGTTCCATCCTAAGTGCAGGACTTTGCACTTGTCCTTACTGAACCTCATAAGATTTCTTTTAGCCCAGTCCTCCAATTTGTCTAGGTCTCTGAATCCTAACCCTACCAACAGATCCACTACTCCCCCCAGCTTGGTGTCATCTGCAAACTTGCTGAGGGTGTACTCTATGCCATCTTCCACATCATTGATGAAGGTATTGAACAAAACTGGCCCCAGGACTGACCCCTGGGGCACACCACTTGATATTGGCTGCCAACTAGACATCGAGTCATTGACTACTACCCTCTGAACCTGACGATCCAGTCAGTTTTCTATCCACCTTACAGTCCATTCATCCAAGCCATACTTCCTTAGCTTGCCTGCAAGAATGTTGTGGGAGACCATATCAAAAGTTTTCCTAAAGTCAAGCCGTGCTCTATCCATACCTCATCATTACTGGTTCAAATGATTCTGCAGCTGCCATTTTGGTGGCAACTTCTGGCTAGTTCCTCCTTACGTTACCTTTCTCAATGTTGATGGAGCAGGAGGATGACACATTTGTCCTGGTGCTCCCAGAGGGGGTCTCCCCTCATAGTTTGGGAGTGCTGGGAGAATGGGGTTGCAGACACTTCTTGCACAATTTATGCTGCTACCAACAAAACCAAGGAAAAGACTCCCATTGATTCAAGTGGATTTTGGATCATGCCCATAGTTACCTTTGAGGGACAGAATTTTCTTATTTCCTGCATCTTTGTGCAGTGCAGATACCATTTCCATCCTTTCAATTCAAAGAGTTCTCCAGAAAGAAATCTAGGATAAAATCTCTACAAGATTAAAATACCTACACAGAGCCTATAAAAAGAGTCACATAACTTCAAAGCATGATTTTTATACCCAATGGGGGCATCTACATGCGTACTTTACTGAGGAGTTGATTAATTAGGTCCACAGTAAAGTGTCACCATCTACACATATAGCACTATTAGGCTGGAGTAAACTAATTAACGCTATCATAGGATAGTACTGCCTGACACAAATACGATCCTACAGTGGAGTTATTTACTCCACCACAATGGACATGTAGACAGTGTTGGGTCTGACTGGAGCACGAGGGTGCTACAGTGCAGGGCTGCCTGCCAACTAGCCCTGTAGCACCTTCATGCCCCAGCCAGCCCCTCCACAGCATGTTGAGCCAGGGCTGGTCTACCCCAGCTCAACATGCTGTAGTCCTGGGCGCATATGTCAACGGTGGACCCTGAAGCAATAAACATGGTTACATTATTTACATGTAGACAGTCCTCCAGCAACAACCCCACAATGCCCCTGCCTGCTCTGGTCACAGTTTTGAACTTTGCTGTTCAGAGGTGATGGTGATCAGAAGCCTGCTATCAACCCACATATCCTTTCAAATGTCCACCATGTTTTGAGAAAGCCTCTTCCTAAGGTAGCCTACCACTGCTACCTTAGTACACAACTATGGCATCAGGTAAAGCTCCAGCTAAGAAAAGCTGAGGCAAACCTTGTACTGTAGCCTGAGCAAGATACAGCAGTGAGTAAACAGCTGTGGAACTGAGGTGTTCATCTGGACACTGCAAAAGCTGGGGTATGTTTAGGGTGACCATATGGGATAATGTGAAATCTGGGATACTACCCCCTCCCTCCCCCCAGTCAGTGGCACTGCTGCAGGTAGAGGTGGGGCACGGCAGCCGGATTCAGCTCTGGTATTACTATTTAGGCACCTAAGGGAGTCAATGGCCCCTTAATGACCCATTGTTCTTTACTTCACTGGTATTAACAATCACCCCCCGCCCCCCTTTTAAAGGTGATTCTACTATTTTAGGGCAATTTTGCTGTTTGTTAGGGCTTCCTATTTCACAGCTTGTGCCACACTGCCTCCCTGCCAGAAAATGCCCTACACTGATGACACTCGTTTTAACTTTCAACAGCTGGCTGGGACTGGCCTCCAAAATCCTGACTGTCCCAGCCAAACCAGGGCATATGGTCACCCTAGGTATGATGCTTGAGCAGCAAAGCAGCTGTGTCAATCCTAGCAAACAGCAAAGGAAAACCACAGAAAATCTAGGGCTTCCTCCAACACCTGCTATTCAGAGTTGTATGCTCTACTAATCAGGGACCCCATGGCCACCTGACAATAGAAAGTGAGAAATTTGCACTTACCAGAGAAGAGAAAGGCACTCCAGAGGTGCACATTGGCTACAAGCTCTTTGAGGCCAGTCAGAGGACCGATCCCAACTCTATTTGTGAAGCAAACTTTACAGAGCTTCTTGAGACCCAGCTGAGCTCACAGACAGAACCCACTGGGGAAAAACAAGGTTGCTCGGGTGGCTGTACTACCATACAGTTTTTTTAAACTTTGTTTATAGTTCTCAGACTCCTTCTTCCTGCTTTTCAAAATGGCAAGTTGATGTGTGCTCACAGGGAACAAATTGTCGGTAGAAGTAGCCAGTTATTTTAGCACCATGCCTTGGCACTCATAGACAAAAAAAAATACAAGAGAAAATACCATAAACAGCTCAAGAACACTCCCAAATGTTTTGGCAAGGCCAGTAGGAAGCATTTCTAGCAGAAAAAAGGAATGCTTCACAAATAGAAAAATAAATACACCAAGACCTGGGCATCCACAGAAAACTTAAAATAACCCTTGCAAATCATCTAAAATCTGGTCATTCCGACTGAATAAACATGTAAAATCAGCCTAAAATGTAACCGTCAGAAATGCAGTGTGAGGCTTTTCCAGTCCAAAGTTCAAGTCCAAAACGAATTAATTGCATGTTATGGTTGGATTCAGGAAGAGAATGAAAGAGGCAGCTTCTTGCTGGCTGATAGGGTTTAGCTTTGAGTTAATCTGCAGAATTAGACATCAGCCACCACCCTGGTTTTCTTGCAGAGTGTTATGATGCTCTTGGTTCAGATATTCCTTTTGTGCCCTGGCCATAATCTTAGTACCATTTTCAAGTATGTATTCTTTAAGCTCTGCCCATGCATTTCCAAGAAGGGTTGCTTTGTTTTTCCTCTGCAATGGGCTCCTGGGGCACTATTACTGGGAAGAAGCCAGCAACATATGAGCTCAGGCAACTCAAGCAGTTACCTTCTCTGGGCCCATTGGCATGCTAATGAGCACATATCAGCCAGACTCATCATTGCCTTTAATATGTTTAGCAATATTTACTGTACTGCACTTCATTACCTGGGATGTCTGACCATCTAACCATTTTCCATTACCTTTCAGCTACAGCCAACACACTTGAGAGCTGCTGAATTGTCCTGAAGAAAACAGCTGTGAAGCCAGTTTGACCTGCTTCATGATGTTACTATACCTATTTAAAAAAAAGTTTAGGGAGTTTTCTCACTTCTCTTTCCCTCTCTGCTAACCCTTTAAACCTACCAGTCTTGTTCTTACGTGGCCTGGCACTGGTTCCACAATTGCCTGAAAGAGAATCCTGACTAGGGGGAACTAAGCTCTTGATCTTAAGAGCTGTGAATCAACATGGGAGTGTTGGGAACACGGCCAGAGAAGAAGCAGAAAGACAAAAAGGTGGGCACCAAGGCATTATGAAGCTTTTGAGAGAACAGAACTAGGTGCTACAAAGCATTATAGAGTCACCATAGCACTTCTACAAGAACTCTTTCTGGGGCTTGAAGATATATACACACTGCCCACCAGAGTGCCAGAATGACATGCTATTATCCCTTCTATTCAACTCCAGTGGAAAATAAGCAACAGTTACGTGAGTACATATGCACTGACCCTTGGTTCATGGAACAGGGGTCGGTGCCTTGCAATTTGCTTTTATATAGTATAAATTTGTTGGGGAGTCCCAACTTCCTTGTCTTATACTCCTCTCCAAGGCTAAACCTCCCCAACTGTAGACACAGTTAACTGCCTGGAACAGACACCATAGTCACAATACAACAGTACCTTTTCATTTCAAGGGTGCACCTCCATGCTGTTTCCAGAGTAAATCCAGCCACAACTTGCACCACATGATTTATCAGCAAGCCTCCTTGGTTGTCTCAATTTTAACCGCTGTGTAATGATCAGTTGCTCTGTTAATTATTGAAATTCTGCAAACTCAGATGCGTCAGGGGCCCTGTATCTAAAACAGACATGAGAAAGTTGGCTACAAATGTCCAATTCGGGATCCTTAAAATTCTGGTTTATTAGGCGGATTGAAACACTGTAACGAAGTCAAATCATAAACCTTGGGGCTGGTCCCCTCACACACACACACACACACACATGCACACACACAGTAGTGAGCTACAAGAGTCGGGTATACCTATCCCACAAGCACTGGAGTCTGCCGTCGATGGCCAGTTGAGGCTTCTTCCAGAGTGGTGTTATCCTCCAGAAGGGGGTCGCCGGCTGGTCCTTCTGGCTGGACAGGTTCGGGTGCTGGTCAAGTTGGAAATCAAGAGGGTGCCCCTGAGGGTCACTTTTCACTGCTTTTTAACTGTCCTTGGCAGACTTTGGTGACTCCCCAGTTTTCAGGTTTGCCCAATCCAGGAGTCGTTGACCCTTGTGGGACTTCTCCCTCGGTAGCTACTGGATGGCATCTGTCAGCCCCAGGGGTCATCTGCATGTATGTGCAGATTTGGGAATCCGTTGATGAATGTTAATTAATTTACCACTGTTATGAATAGGGCTCTGGGAGCGGTTGATCTGGAGATATTCAGCCCCAAAAGTTGGTCCCCGGCATTGATTAACTCAGACCGGGGCTTCTAGCCCTTGAACAATGAAGTTTGGAGAATTCCTGGTTCCTAGATTGTCTCCTATTGATTTCTTCCGTTGGTTGAGCTGTGGTTTCCGTAGGTGTTAATTGCCGCTTTTTACCAAAGCCTGCTACTGTGTTACGCATTCAATCACTGATTCACTCGCTCTTTCAGGGGCCGCCTGATACAGGGAAACGGTGGTTTGATTCCTGCCCTTGTTAACATTGTTACAGTGTATACCTTACTTCTAAAACTAAAACACATTTAGTTAAAAGGTGAAGAGTATAAAATATAAGCTACAAGAGTAATGCCATGGCACACAAATAGATAAAAAACCCCAAAATACAAGGGGAGATGCAAAATGCACACATACAAACTTTAAAACACAATTCCTTATCTTATAGTGAAAGAAAGAGGAATGAAGAAAAGGTAGAAGAGGAGAAACATATCCAAAGAGGGGAAAGCAAATGCAGGCAAGACGAAAAGGGGGCTTTCTGCTACAAGAATGCCATTGATCTGTTGAAGATCTCTGCTCTTAAGGGTGAGATGGTAGAGAGTGAAAATCAGAGTAAGGATGAGCAGATTGTGTTGTAATGAAGGAGCTGTGGGAATTTTTTAAAAAGAGTGGGAAAAGAGAAGGGTATGGGATGAACAAAGAGAATCATGGGAGCTTAACCCCAAGTTCCCATAATTCCCTGAGAGGAACCTATCATACCTCAGTGCACCACCAAAATATTTTGGAGTCAGTGCACCACATGGATGCTTTGGGGACATTGAGTTGCCTACCCTCAGGGCCATATATCTTCAACTGAAATAGCCTCTTGTTGCACCAACAAAGGCAGGAGGTACAATTCAGTGACACTGCTGGAATAAATGCTACTGGTATAAATATATAGGGTATAAACGTGACCTAAAAATGTTACAGGTCTGGATAGGAATTTCATGGAATTGCAATGTCTTCTTTAGTTTTCAGTCTAGAGAAGTGGTGCCCAAACTTCCAATCCCATGGGCTGAATGACAAAAAGCTCCACTGCCTGGATCTGGCTTGTGGGCTGGAGGTTGAGTACCACTGGTCTAGAGACTCCAGGGAACTTACTCTGTTCCAAAAGGGCTTTCCAGGTAACCTAGAAATGAATCAATTCAACTATTCCTCTGTAATTCAGTGAGAATTATTTACCCAGTTCATGATTTCCATGCACTCTGTAGCATCTAATATCTGCTGCAGTGATTGATTTCTCGTTATTCTGTAGACTAGACCCTAAGCACAAATAATCACATATGTCTAGTCTGCGAATTACCACTGGTTACCTCATAATCACTGTATGTTAGTTAGGGACTTTATTCCTGTCTAAAAGACCTTTGTTTTTGAAATTGCATAACTTGTATAGAAAAGATAAGACAACAATATATTCAAAGCTTTCTGCATGGCCTGTGTCAACCCTTACCGATATATGGCACTGTGCTTTCACTGTTTTGAAAAGGTTAAAACAGGGAACTGAGCTACTGTAAATAACTTGCAGGTTTCATTACACTTTCTGGTTGATTTTACAACCCACTGGCGGCATCTATACAAGACGCTGACCGTGCAGTTGTTTCTGCGCAGTCATTTAGTATTTGCATAACCAAATACAAAATAACTGCGTATTACTGCCCAGCAGCATCCCAGCATGGTTGCCCAGTGATGCTTACTGCACAGTAGCTCATTACTACTGCACAGTAGTGTCGCATCATGGGTTGTACCTAATCATAGTGCTGGGAAATTCACACCTCCGCATCCTCCTGGTAGATTTATCAAAGGGTAGCACATACATATCTGATTCTATCTGCCATTGTTAGCATAAGCAGTGAACACAGAATCTGTGTTCTGCCTTTGGTTACCATGCTACTTTCAGTGACTCAGCGCATGTAACTGTGAGCATCTTTCAGCCCTGAGATAGTAGTGGATAAATAAGGAAGTATATGATATACTTCCCTTCACATAAATGTCTCAATTCATATCTGGTATCATTCCACTTAAGTAATGTTCTCAAGGTGTTGACCAATCTAAACAGGAAGTGTTGTTATAGCAAGAAGCTATAGCAAAAACCAGCTGGGAGCGTGTGATTAGAAAGCATGCCTGCCCTGCAGCCCAGCAGAAGTCCTATTTAAATCTGATGTTGAGTACTTAAGTGGGGCTATTTGTACTATATGCTAACAATGGCATAATAATTGTACAAAGCAGTGCTGCTCAAACTTTTGCCCCATGGATCTGATAGGAAGTGCCCAGTCTATCCATGGGCCAGATCCAGCCAGTGAGCCCAATCCAGTGCATGGGATGGGCGAAGTGGGACCTGATCTGGCTGTGTTGGGGAGGGAGCATGGGCCAGCTCCCTCCCCCACCACTATTTTTGGGGGATATTTTAATATTAATTCCCACCACTTCCCCTGCCAAATTTCCCAACTCATGGGAAACCCCACAGGCTGGATGCCATGGCTGCATGGACTGGATTTGGCTCATGGGCAGACATAAAAAGGACTGGTATAAAGGACATACATAGGCCTCTTCACAAGGTATGTTTCGCTCTTTCCTGCAATCACAAATATTTGACAGTGTTAGGAAATGGAAAGTATTACAAAATTATTCCATTGTAAACTGAAGATAACAACACTTACTTTGCTCTGTCAATGGGGTTACCCCAGGTATATATCCATTGGCTGAGACTCTATGCTATGCCTTCTACTAGAGCAGTAATAGGTTCTCAACTTTATTAGACTGAAGACAGTTCTCAGAAAATGCCTGCTCTTAACCTTCATTCATTTTGTGACAATGGAAAATAATAAAGTAATTCTTGTGTTGCAAAGAACTCAGAAAGACCATGACATGTCTGAATGTTTTTGACACTGTGGATCCCTATTTAAAATCTCTTGGTTTATCTTGTAACACATGTGTAGGTGTTTCACACTGAACAGAGCTAATATTGAGTGGCACCCCTAAAACGAAACCTTGTAGCACCCAGAGTTGAAAATTGCTGCCCTAGAAGAACAACAAGGAAGTTGTAGCTTATGGGACTGAGGGTAACTTGGGGTTGTATGACTTGTATACCATTCTCATTTGGAGCACTGCCAGGGGCAAGAGCTGTTCCTTACTGTATATTAGAGCAGTCGAGAGTTCTACATTACGGTCGTCTATCCAAAGTTGCATATGAATTACTTAGCTATGCTTGTTATGTGGGATTCTTTTCCTGTGGCTTCTCCCCACACAGGGCCACTGTTAATTGTCCCTGCAGCACCCACACTGGGGAAATTCTCTGGGTGGTTGCAAGTCACTTTTATGTTGCCGCAGCAGAATGGAGAGCCCATAGTAAAAGTTAGAGTTCCACTGAGATTCTTTCCTAGAGAATACAAGTGGGAGATAAGAGAGGTAAAAGGGAATTACAAAAATGACAAAGGTAAAGAAAAAGCAAGAAAAGACTGACACAACTTTAAGGATAGTAAACTTTTAAATGTAATGAAATGCCTTAATTTAAATTCACTTCGATAATGTTACTACATTGTGTTCCTGGTAGAAATACAGATGCTGAAAGGAACAGATGGGCATGAAAAACTGACTGAAAGAGCACCTCTAGTAGCAAAATAGAATGAAGACCACATGTCGTATGAACTTGACCCACAACAAAATGTTATAACAAGGAGTCCCCGCAGTGTGTGATGTGGAGGAAGTTAGTCAGAGGAAAGCTGGAGGTGAAGAAAAGGGGAAATTTATTTGCAGAAAAGGAAAGGGGCAGGGCAAGATGGGAAGTACAGAGACTCTGAGCAGCTTATATAGAGAAGAATGCCTCACCATTGTCACTGCTTCATAGCCTGACTGGGATTATCCATCATCCATTACAATATGTGGTCAAAGGTATTATTTTGTTTTTCTGCATTTTAAGCCTTGACTTTTCATTTTAAACTTCTGTAATTTCATTTCCACATGCATTGCTGTGCTTTATCTGCTTAAGAGTTCTTTGTGTGTTTTTAAAGTGCTTAATACACTGTACAAGGTAAAGACTTTAGTAGAGACTTTGTCTGGAACGCTGCATAAAATTCTGGTCACCCGTGTTCCGAAGAGATGAAGTCAAACTGGAACAGATATTTAAAGGTATTTAATAGCCAGATTCTATTCAATCTATTAGGCTCTTAAATGGGCTTATGTGCCTCACTGTGATTCTATTCCACCCAGCTTTAGTCCCTGAAAAACTGTTAGAACTAGGGATGAGTGGGTAAGATGGGTATGTGTGTTGCAAAGGTAGATGGTGGAATGAAGTCACATATGGGCATCTAAGTCCACTTGGATACTAATAAACAGAACAGGATCTGGCCCTAGGTGTCTAGAGATCCAGGTAAGTACACAGTGGGATTTTCACATACCAGCACCTGCCTAACCCCAACTGATGTCCGTGTGAATCAGGCTTCTGGGCATTTGGGGAAATCCTTCTATTTGCAGCTTTAGGAGCTTAACATCTTTAGAAATCTGGGTCACATGAGCCCTGATTCACAAAATTATTTAAATGCCTAATTGATTTCAAAGGTAAATAGGAGATACTAGGAGCAACTCAGCTGGAATTCTGAGCAACTCCCAAAGGCTGAATCAACCTGGGAAAAAAAAGAAAAGGAAAGATGTAAATATTGAAAGCAGACAGTGAAAAAGAGACATAAACACTGAGGGGAGGGAAGAGATTTGATTGATTTTGTATAATTTGTGTGTTTATGTATAATAGAGTAACAGTATGATGTAAATTACTGTTGACTTAAATCCTTTTCAGAACTGAGGAAATACAGGTGAAATAACTAACAGAAATCAGAGGCTGGAGGTTGTTTGTGTTGCCTTTTAAATTAACAGAAACATCTGCTGGTTTGTTTGTTTCTCCCCCAGACCATCACTGGAAACTTTGCTGGCATGATCCATGGCTTGAATGCAAGCCAGCTGACAGACCAAGTCCTTCGGAGAAGCAAACGGATGATCCTGGACACCCTTGGAGTGGGACTACTGGGTAGCAGCACAGAGGTCTGCCACAAAGTAATACACTACAGCAAGGTAAAATGCTTGAATTTCATGTTGTGCTAGCTGTTAGAAAATTGAAACAAGTAAATGTAGGTTAGTAAGGAAAATATCCCCAAGGTAAGATCTGTTAGGTGTTGAGATAGTCCAGCCATAGAGGAAGGGAAGCTCTATTGCTCGAGTTAAAAAACAGAGGCTGGAAAATGGCTAGCAAGTATTTTATATGGTAACTTACTGCCCATACCAGATAAATCAAATGCCCTAGGACAGGGATGTCAAAGATATGGCCCCTGGGCCAGATCTGGTTTCTAGAGCCCTACGATCCAACTTGTGGGTCTTAGACCACCTCCATGTTCCCCACACACTGCACTTGCCACAAGGGGCCAGTCCAGGGTGCCCCATAGCATCAGGGCCTATCCAGATTGGGTCCACAGACCATTCCTGCATGCTAGAGCCACCAAACAGAGGTGCTCTAGAAAGGGCACTGGATGCTGTGCATGCTCCTTGCTGGCTCCACATGCCACATGAAGCACAAGACCTAGACTGGAGCCAACACATGAGGCATGCCCCAATCCAGGGTATTGTATGCAGTGCCCTGCTGGACCAGCCCTGTGTGCAGGCTTTAAAAAGTAAAAACTGAGAACAGCAGGACTGAGCCACAATGAATTGTCTGATGTTTAAGTTCAGAACTTTGAATTAAATGATCTCATATTATTCCAGATCTACAGCACCAACACATCCAGCACTGTTTGGGGTCACTCAGATGTCAGACTCCCTCCTCTGTATGCGGCTTTTGCCAACGGAGTAGCTGTAAGGACCTATTCTATATATATATATATAAAGGGCTTAGTCCATCTGTCTGTGTCTATCTGTGTGCCTGTCTGTAATGCTCTTTGGGGGTATGTCTCCTGGCGGGGCAGGGCTCCAGCCAGTGCTGTGTCAAGAATGACGGGCAGGGCTCGGCTCCAATGGATCGGGCTAGGTGGAACAGGCCCAATGGATGCACGGGGGGGGGGTGGACGCAGAGTGGGGTGGTGGTGGCACGTGGCTGGACACAGATCTGGGGGGGGGGGCAGGGGCGTGTCTGACGTGTGGCTGGATGGCATGCCGTCCCTGCCTGCACCCCCCCCATCATTCTTGATGGGCCATTCACTGTTATTCTATATCTGCTTTCATATGCATTGTAATATTTGTAATTTATTTTCCCTAAATTTTAAACTAACTTTTATCTTTGTGATGTGAAAAGACCAGATTTTACTATCAGTACAAAACTCCTCTAGACTGTCCTAGCAACATCATTCAGCCTTATTTCAGCAATCCCAAGCTGGACCCACCCTTTTAAGGGTGACATAGTACACTTCAGTTTCTGTCTTAAGGAACCATCATCAAGGGGTGTCTTTTATTATTAATTTTGTACTGCTGTCATACTTAGGGGATACAGTCAAGGTATTGGGCTCCATTGTGTTAACTGTACAGACATGTAATGAAGACAGTCTAATGCTGATTGACTTCAACAGAGCCAGATTTCACCCAAAGTAGACAAAACTATAAAACACACATGCATGCATGCACATAGCTTTTAGTCATACAGTTGGAAAAGGCAGACAGTACATTTTGGATATGCTCAAGTTTCTCAATAAAATGATAACTGGCTTGTCAGAAATTAGCCCAAATGCAGATATAGTCTGAGGGCAACTGACATTGATGGCATTTAACCCCCTTATGCCAGATTTAAATTACACGTGTTTTGTAATTATGCAAAGCTAATGGAGTTGTCCCTCTGAGGACATGGTGTATTAAGAATGATCAAATTTAGTTTTGCAACAAGACTAGGTAGATCAAATCTGACACCTTATTTCAAATCTAAGGAAAATGACCTTGAAAATGGCATTGTTAGGCTCTTAACAGTCTAAGTGGCATTCAGGTCTCACTGTCATCATTTTATTTTGAATCAGCATCATAGGCCAACTCCAAGTTCTTACTGAATAGTCACAAAATGTCACTTTATCAATATTATAAGACAGTGAATTTTGGCCCTGGAGACCAGATGAATGGTGCAGGGCTGCTCCATGAGCCAGATCAGACTCTGCATGCCCGGGTTGGGCCCCATGCTACCCTTGCAAGCTGGGATTGGGCTCCAGGGCCTTGCATTGCCTCTGCCAGGTGTCCAGTGCTAAAAGGACTCTGGGGCCCAGCACCACTTCTACCCAGGCTGCCCACACACAGGGATCAGGCTCCATACCACCCTACATAGCTTCTCACGAACCTATGGGAAGCCCTGTGGGCTGGATGATGCAGGGCTGAATATGGCCTGCAGGCTGAGGGTTGAGCACCCCTGGTATAAAACATAACTTTCAGCTTCTGTTATTATACAATGCCTTCTTGACTGATATATAAACTCTTAAAGGCAGGAAGTGTACCCACTTCTATTTGTACTATGACTAGCGCCTCAGACACTTGGTCCTGATGTGGGCCTGTGATTGTGACCATAATTATAAGAGGAGCAGTTCTTCAACAGGTTTTTGTACTAGTTAAATTCTTTTCAGTTGGGATTGGGTGATCTTGTCAAGGTAAAAAATTAGCCAGTTAAAAATCAGGCCTTCTCTTTTTCCCACCAGGTACACTCAATGGATTTTGATGATACATGGCACCCAGCCACACACCCCTCTGGGACTGTGCTTCCTTCTCTAGTTGCTCTGTCAGATACCTTGTCTGAAAAGAAAAAAATATCTGGCCTTGACCTGCTCTTAGCCTTCAATGTAGGGATTGAAGTGCAAGGCAGACTTTTACGATTTTCCAGTGAAGCCCACAACATTCCCAAAAGGTATGTAAATAATATTTGGAGTGCAGCATTTAGGTTGAGGAGAGGCTTTTGTTGTGGTTGTTGTCATTAATTTACTGAAATAGCAGAGATGAAAGCAATACTGATTTTTAATCTCCACTCTCCAGCTACTCTCTCAGTAATTTCAATAGAGCTGCCTTTTAGTGTCTTTCATAGCTAGAGACAAGCAGTCAATATATGCTGTTCCACTTTTGTATTCAAAGCAATGAAAGTAGCAGAGCTAATCATATTTACTAGGCTGCTTTGTTCAGAAGTTTGAAAAGTAGAAATTGAAATCAGCATTTAAAAAAAAAGAAAATACTCCTTTGTGATTGCCTTTTTTGAAGCCTAATACATAGCACCACTGTTTAGATGGAGGTAGTGACTGATCTGGATCAGTGAGACATTTGAGAAGCTCCTTTAGCTTCTCCATCAATTCAAAATAGTGAAAAGGAAAATAACGCTAGAGAAAAAAATCTCAGATGGTTTCAGTGGGATGTGAGAATACATCTGATTAGGTCTGAATGTGCAAACTGAGAACCATTGCCTGTTCTCAGAAATGAGGATTCACCTCTCTGGGACTCACCATGCAGCCACAGTAAACACACTATGTACTAAGGATGTGGGTAGAGCAGAGGTGGGCAAAATGATGGATCCAGCCAGCAGCCAGACTCCATTTCCCAGCAGCCCCTGCCTGAGTGGCTGGGGCCAGTCTCCAGGGAAACCCCAGCCCATGCTATCACAGTGCAGCTGGGATCTCCATGGAAACCAGCCCCAGCCACTCTGGCAGGGGCTTCTGGGAAATGGAGTCCGCTGCTGGCCAGATCTAGCCTGTGGGCTGGACTTTGCCTACCCCTGGGGTACAGGAACATAGAATCCCCTTACCGCAGGAGGTGCCAATTATACTTGCTACAACAGCTCTGGGGCTTTTCTGCTACCATGGTGCTTACAACACTGGTCACTAAAAGAGTTAGTAGTTTTTCCTATTATTTTCTTCAGCGACCTATTTGTATATAATATAGTGTTTTAGCTAACATGGGACTTTTCCAGTATCAGGGCTACAGAACTGGACCCTGAACTGGACCCCTCAGTATTATACATATACTGATTTATGGTCTGGTCCAGCTCCCACTGGGCACATCTATGTGTGTTAATTGACTGCATAAACTCCAGCACAGTTTTTTTTGGAGCGTATTGCTCCCGGGCACCGCATTTACATGTGCACCTGGAACCTCAGCACATTGATCCAGGTCAGAGCAGCCCCAACTGGCAGGGGATCTGAGAGGCCAGCCGGCCAGCCCAGAGCTGCTCTGCCCCAACTCAACGTGCTGTGGAGAGGCTGGCTGGGGCATGAGAGTGCCGACTAGCCCTGCATTGAAGCAGGCAGCCCTTTCACTGAAGCACCCTCATACCCCAGCCAGCCCCATCAGCGTCTACCAGTGTGTTGCAGTGGAGTAAATAATGCTGCTGCAGGATAGTACTTGTGTTGACAAGTGCTGTCCTACAAAGGCATTTATTAGTTTACTACAGCCTAATAGGGCCACACATGTAAACACTGAGACTTTACTGCAGAGCTGATTAGGCAACTCCACAGTAAATGTTTCATGTAAATGCGCCCACTGAAATCGGAGAGGGGTGGATTAGGTACTGCTGAAGTTCTGTCCTAGAATTCCTGTAACTATTTTTGAAGCATGGTAATGATAAGGTACCATTTGTTTTCTCAGGTTTCATCCACCATCTGTGGTTGGTACCATGGGGAGTGCAGCAGCTGTTGCCAAACTGCTAGCATTTGACCAGTTTAAGTGTAAAGAAGCTTTGGCCATTGCTGCTTCTTATGCAGGAGCCCCAATGGCTAATGCAGCAACACAAACCAAGCCTCTGCACATTGGTAATGCAGCTAGGCATGGTCTGGAAGCAGCTTGCTTAGCATCACTGGGTCTTCAAGGAAACAACCAGATACTGGACATGGAGTCAGGGTTGGGTGCTTTTTATGGAGACTACACCCCACAGGTTCTGCCACCTTTACAGTCTTATTCCTGGCTGCTGGACCAACAAGATGTAGCCATCAAGCGCTTCCCTGCTCATCTTGGAACACACTGGGTGGCAGACGCAGCCTCTTCAGTGAGGAAGCACCTTGTGGGGAGTGACGATCCACTCCCTGTTAGCAAAATTAAGAAAATCACGCTCAAAGTCCCAGAGGCTCAGTACGTAAACAGATCATTCCCTAACTCAGAGCACGAAGCCCGGCATTCTTTCCAGTTTGCTGCATGCACTGCTCTGCTGGATGGCAGCATCTCAGTCCAATCATTCAACCGTCAGAACATTTTTAGGCCAGAGTTAAAGGAGCTGCTCTGCAAAACACAGATGGAGCACCCTTCTGATAACAAGCCCAGCTTCGAGAGCCTTTACTGTGAAGTAAGCATTACCCTTCAGGACGGCGACATGTTTAGTGAGCGTTGTGATACTTTTTATGGACACTGGAGGAAACCCCTGAGTAAAGAGGATTTGGAGAAAAAATTTCGCTCCAATGCTTCCAGTGTTCTCTCACTGGAGGCTACAGAAGGCATTATAGAGACTGTGAATCATTTAGAAGAAGTAGAAGACTGCATGGTGTTAAGTGAGTTTCTCAAAGGGACACAGTCAACACAAGAACTTCCCCAAACAATCTCCTTATCTTGAAAAATGACAAACATTTATTGGGTTTCTGTAGTTACTGGTGTGTACTCTAAGCATACAGAGTCAGGAAAAGGAAACTCCTCTTGATGTTGGTAACAAATTTGCACACCTGTAACACGAGCAACATTTTAAATCCAGTGTTGTAGCACTGGTTCTGTACCTGGCTTAAAGATTGCTTTCTGCTCTAGAGATAGCTGGAAAATAATGTGCTGGTAACTTCCACTTTTATTATCTTTAGATCAGTACTCAGAGGACATCTATAGCCTCCCTAAAACTACCATTGCTACTAACAACCGCCCTGTTGACAAATACTTTATCATGGTGCCATAATAAAGCCCCTTGTAAAAATTCTTCTTCTGCTAGAAAATCTGGAAATGGAGATTGTGGAGGGGTAAAGCAGCCAATATCCTCAGGAGAGGAGCTATTAATAGAAGGACAAATAGAGAATAAGAATTCTGGGAGAGGTTTTATAGCAGTACATCTCTGGGCATCCATTAATGTGAAAGTGTTGAGATTTGTGTAGAAAGAAAAACCCAATGCAAAGTTGCAGAGGTTGGTATTCACCAAGAAACATCCTTGCTTCCCCATCAAGATTAGCCTTATATAGGTGAGGATGACAATAGTGCTCTCATTCTAATCATACTAATTATAAATAATAAAAAATAGGTGCTTCATCTAAGCAAAGTGCTGCAATACCCTTCATTAATGTATCTTTTACTCTTTAGTTTCCATATCTGGTTGCTCTAATGCAGGGGTGGGCAATTATTTCAGCTGGAGGGCTGTTTAATGAGTTTGGTTGAGCTGTCGAGGGCCGCAACAGTAGCCCTACCTCTTGACAGGAGCCGGGCCCCTGGTCACCATCTTGGAATCTGAAGTCCTGCCCCCTAACCTCTGACCTATGCCACTAGAAATCCCTCCCCTTCCCCCTGGAAGTCCTCCTTTTGCCATCTTGGAACTGGAAAAAAAACAAACAAATCCTATGCTAAAAGTCAAACATCTGTTATAACGTATTTTAATTTTATTTTTGTCCTGATTTATGTGTATTTCTGTAGTGTATATAGAGGTGATTGCATAATAGTTCAAAAATAAAGTCATACTCTTGTATATTGTGTGTGACGGTGTGTGGTGCTGCTTGTATGGTAGGGTATGGGGTGTATGGGGCTTGTGACGGGGTATGGCTCTGTGTTGGGGGATGTATGGTATGTTGGAGGATGTAGGTGTGTGTATACGTAGGAGGGTTTGGGGGGCGTGCAGGCAGAGTGTGGGTGTGTGGGCTGTGAGGGAGGGTGGAGGGCGGGGGACCTCCCCCCACATGCTCCTCCCATGGTGCACAGCTCCTGCCACCAGCAGGAGTGGTAGGCCTTCAGGGTGCTCATAGCCTGCTCAGGCGCAGCCACCCAGCGACATGCAGCTCCAGCCAGTTCCAGGAGCTGCACATGGGGGCAAGGAGCAGAACTAGGCTGGCCTGCCTCTATCACATAGGGCTCTCGTGAAGCTCCTGGGACTTGTGCGTTGGGTAGAAGCCCCATGAAATGGAGCTAGTTGCCTTCCTTGCTCCCTGCCACCATGTGCAGATCCTGAGATTCTGCCAGGAAGCAGGAGGCTAGGCTTCCCACCACTTCTTGCATGAATGGCAAGTGCTCCCGGTGGCTGGGTGGGGCACAGCTGCACTGGCGGTGGCGGGAGCATGGCAGTGGGAGCATGGCAGTGGGAGCATGGCAGCGGCGAACGGGGAGCTCCTGCAGACGCCGCTGGCACTGTTGGTAGCAGGCAGGGCGGGGAGTGGCGAGCGTTGATCACCAGGGGTTAGTGACCACCTGCAGGTGCTGCCAGCAGCATTGGCAGCAGCCAGTGGTGATCGCAGACCACCCACAGATGCCACCAGCAGTGTTGGCGACAGGGTGGCGAGCAGCAACTGCCACCCAATTTCATTGCTGGAGATATGCTAGTATCCATACACTCTGAAGAAGTACCAATCATACAAGTGTTTCAAACATGTCTCTTTCACAATCCCAATTTGTAGGGGTGCACCGCCACGCTCAGGGGGTGCACGTGCAACCATGTGCACCCCCTACGTGTCACCCCTGACTTCTTGTGGAGTCCCAGGAGCTGCATGTGGTGGCAGGGACCGGGCCAAAGCCACTGGCTCCATCACAGGGGGCTTCCCCCTGGTGGCATGTTAGTACCAGGAGCTCCATGCCATAAAGACAGGCTGGCTTGGCTCTGTTCCTTGCTGCCATGTGCAGATCCTGGAACTGGCTGCAGCTGCACGTGCCACTGGGAGGGTGCGCCTGTGTGAGCCATGAACACCCGGAGGGCCCACCACCTGCTCACACCCCTCACACCCACACCCTGCCCAACCGAGCTCTGCACTCCCCCCAGCCCCTGCCCCACACTGCTGCCTAGCTGCAGCTTCCCTACCTACTGCCTGGAGTGAGCACTGAAGCAGGGACAAGAGCAAGAGCCACTGGAAGCCAGGGAAGCTGAGGAGGTCCCCCAGTGGCTGCAGCAGTGGCACCATTGGCCCCACCCAGAAGCTGTGAGTGCTGGCAGGGACCCGGGCCCTCCCATACACAATGGTGGGAATAGAGTGAGCTGGGCAAGGTACATTAATTGGTGGGTGCCTGTGAGCCACATGAAATTGCCTGGTGGGCTGGATTCAGCCTGCAGGTTGTATTTTGTCCAACTCTACTATAAGGACTTACAGTAGGCTTCACTGTTGGCATAGCTAAATAATCACATTTACATTCAACTGCTGTATGGTACTAGCTCTGTGTACTTCCAAGACTGACTGTGCTACACCTTCCTTTAACACCTCCTGCCACAGAGTTGATGAGCTAGTTAATGAACAAAGAGAGGAAGAAGCCTGAGGGTGCATGCCTTCATCAGTGTGCAAGGGATGCCTCATATCACTGAAACGGATTATCTAAGTCATCATTCCAGAAAACTTTTAGTGAGGCCTTTCACTTTCAAAGAATACAATAAAGGTTTAAGTCATGCTTTACAGTAATATAGCATCATTACTAAAACATCCTTGCATGTTTTACAATATCCATTGCTAATGAAATTCATCTTCATTACATGGATATATATTTTTAAGATAGGGGCAAATGTATATTCTGGTTCACGTGCATAATAGAATTCCTGCTTTATTCTAAAAGTGATATCTACCATTGTGTTATTAAGGACCTAATTTTAAAACTTGAAGATTGAAAAATAGGCTCTTAAGTTCATATTCAGACACTGCTAATAGTTTCTGAGTCAAAAATAAGTATTTAGATATCTAACAATAAGCACCAAACCTTCACAATTTGGGATTGTTAAAGAGATATGTTTGAAACACTTGTATTATTGGTACTTCTTCAGAATGTGTGGATACTAGCATATCTTCAGCAATGAAACTGTTAAAAGATGCAAATGTTAGCAGAAAACATACAAATGTGATTACAAAAACTATTACTTTTATTTTTGAAGTTTTCTACACAAGGAATATATAAGGACAGAACTCCACCATCCCTGTAATTACTTTCATATCTATCCCATAGTGACCAGTGATGGTATATCTTTTGGGTGTCAGTTCAGACACCTTTAAATGCATGCTTAAGTATATTTAATATGGCAGCTAGAGGCCTTAGATATGTGTGTCCCTACAATAGAATACAGATGTAGAATGCTTAGTATACTGAAGAATAAAGTTGCCACCTACAGTAAGCTCAACTAGATGACAGGCTTCCACCCAGCAGTATAAAACTGGCTGTTAGACTACAAACATCTTAGTTACTCAAAAATTAGTTACTTAGATCTTTAGCAACCTTAACTTCCAATGGAATTAATGAAAATTGAGAAGGATGTTCCATCTCTTGAGGACTGTGCCTAAGACTTGTACATTTCTTAGATGAAAACACATGGTTTGTTTGGGGGGGGTTGTTTTTTTTAATCTTATCATCATCATGTGTGTGCGTGGGCAAAAGCCTGTCCCTGGGTCAAGTTTTTGTACTAACTGCACTTTCAGTTATTTCATTTGAGCACAAAGATAGTGTAACCATAAAAATTCTTTAAAAAGAGATCATTAGCAGCTGCACCTTTGACTCTTGACTCCATGAAACTGGCTTGCCCCCAACTGTCCTGAACGATACATAGAAGTATGTCATTAAGAATGTAATAGTGGCTTTACACTTATTTAAAGATTCAGAACGCCACAAATCTCAGATTATTTCTTTGTTTTTGATCTACTGAATTTATACTTTTGATTGGTTTAAATGAGTCTGTCACACTTTCAACTGAGATGAACACTTCAATCCTATTTTCCACTGTCACATTTAATTATGCAGGGGTAACACAGAATGTAAATTACTGTTAATCATTCATCGGTGATTGATTAAACCCATTTAAGCAAGTAGGTTCGTCCATTACCTTCCCAAATCTCTAAACACATTTAAGCTCAGACATGAGGAGATCCAGGGGCATTTATACACGTGCTCCAGAGTGGGTGGGGGTGCTTGAATTACAGCCACTCTGAGAGCCACTGTAAAGAAAACATCTGGAGCATCTCGTGTATCAGCGTCCCCATGCTGAAAAATAGCACACCTTAACTAAAGCTTGTCAAATAAGCTTCAAAGCGCCCCCGCCACCATTTTTCAGTGTGGGGACACTGATACACGAGATGCTGGAGTTTGCTGAAGTGTGGTAATTACCATGCTCCAGCAGACTCAGTTAATTGAATCTGCTCTGATGTGCTGCAATTACAGTGCATTGGAGCAGCCTTGCTGCTTGTGTATAGGCACCCCAGGATTTTAAAAGTGGGAGATGTGGGACCAGCAATCAGTGCAGGGATGGCTGCACTCCCCACTCTCAGCCTTTCCCCTGCACCCCACCAGGGTAGGCAGACCATGCTGCAGAAGTAACAACTGGGGACTTAGCTGACTTAGTCCCAGAATCAGGTAAGACTCTTCCCTTCCCCCCAGCCCTCCCCTCTTTGTTCCTCCTTGCCCTTTCTACTTACACCTCTGGTTGCAAGAAGGGGAGACCAGCCCCACCCTGCTGCTCTCTCAGCTGCTCCTGCCCTGTTCTACCTGGGGCTGCAGGGAGTAGTTGTGCAGGGAGCTGGGCTCGGCTGGGGACAGCAGCAGCAGTGGGCGGCTTTCCCTCCCTGTGCCTGGTCCCAGGCTGGTGGAGAACACCCAGGGGGCTCTGGCCAGGAAAGGGGACCCACTAGGGCTGTGCGAAACACCATCGTTTCATTTTGATGACCATTTCATCATTTTGAAGGGGCAGTGTTTCATTTTGTCATTTCATTTCATTTCAAAGCACTGTCCTGGTTCATTTTGTTGAAACTGTTTCGCTGTTTCGACTCGTTCCGGCGTTTTGCCCATAGGCTATAATGGGGAATCATGAAAATGCCTAAAACATTGTCATTTGTTGCCTGATTTGCATGCAAATTGTAGGGATGGTAGCCCCTTCTGAGGGCATGAAGCCTGCCAAATTTCAAGGAGATAGGTGCAGAGGTTTCTCAGAAACTGCACCTCAAAGTCTTGAAAGCAAAATTTGATGGCAGCAGCAGCCCCCTATCATCCAGCATGCAGATCCAGGGGATTGCACCCCAGAGAGGCCTGTGGGGCTGTGCCAGACTCCTCCTGGGCCCCTGGATGTGTGCTGGATGACATGAGGCTGCCGCAGCTGCTGCTGCTTGGGACCAGCCCTGGGCGCAGCCTGCACCTAACACCGGGGAAGACAGATGCTGCTGCTGGTCCCAGGCAGCAGCCTCCTGTCATCCAAGCACAGATCGAGGGGCCCATGCCCCTGCAAGGGCTGCAGGGCTGTGCTGGACTCCCTCCAGGAGTGCAGGCCCCCAGATCTGTGCCGGATGACCGGAGGCTCCTGCTGCCACCTGGAACCGGCGCTGGGCCCAGCCCACACCCAGTGCCAGGCTCCATGGAGCTCAGCCTGGTGGCAGGAGGTAGAGCGCA